CCTACGTTTGACTGTTAACTATAAAAACAAGCAATTTGGTTTATCAGGCCATAAAAAAGTAGGCCTAGTCAGAGACTGGGCTGAGGGAGAATGACCTCCCGAACCATCACAAAGCCTAAAGATTAATGCTCAATTTTGTCAAAATATAAAATTATTAGAATGTCCTTCTCATGTTCAAGATTTCTCACACATTTGTGTACAAAGAAAAAACAAAACACTGGAGCTGCTCCGCCACACCAGGAAACCTCCCCCCTCACCCTGGAGTGAGGTAGGTGCTAGTAGGGAGGGAGGGAATTAATTACTAGACACACACACAGCACCGCTCCTGTGCCAGGTTACTCCACTACGGGCTCACCATAGCCCGTGCTACTTGAAACTTGTTCCGAGTAGCTGAATCTATAACAACAACAACAACAACGGAGAGAATTATCAGGGGAAAGCGCCAAGCCATTACGACTATATAGCCCTTGGAAAGGGTCAGGATAAGGATTTGGGATGGGACGGGGGGGAAAGGAAGTAGGAAGTGTAAAATATATTTCATGAAAAACCAGGACACTATATACACCGTACTTGTTGTTGTAGATTCGCTACCTGGAACAAAAAGTTCCAAGTAGCACGGGCTATGGTGAGCCCGTACTGTTGGGAGAACACAGTGTTAAAAGTGGCGGTACAAGACTTCAGTCTTCTGCAACAAATACAAGAAATGTCGCTGGCACAACACTGGAAGCTTTCAAGAGCTGGATAAGTTTCTACTCGAGTTACTGGATCAGCCAGGCTGTGATGGCTATGAGGCCCTTGAGCTGTACAGAGACAAAGAGCTTCAGAGAGCAGATAGTTACCAGGAAAGGTTGGTCTCGGACACGCTGCGAGAGGGGGGAATTGTTCACAGGTAATCCATCCTACCACTCGTCCTCCACCCCACTACTCGTCCTCCACCCCACCATACTCGTCCTCCACCCCACCATACTCGTCCTCCACCCCACTACTCGTCCTCCACCCCACCACACTGACCTTCGTCCTCCACTAAGCCTCACTTTCCCTTTACTTAAGCGTCATTAGCCTAGATTCCCAAAAGCCATTGTCTCGGGAGCTGCCGGCACTGACTCACACCATCGTCACCACCACCACCATCGTTACCACCACCATCGTCGTCACCACCGTCAATTATCACCACCACCACCACCAGCACGGTGATCCCAACTGCCCCCCCCCTCCCACCCACACGTCTCCCATGCTCCTCCAACACTAAAAAAAAATTTAATAAGCTAAAAAGTTAGAAATGTAGTTTACTAAAAAAGAAAGGCGTGAAAGATGGAAGAAAATGGAAAGTTAGGGGGAGAAAAATGGGGAAGAGAGAGATTTTGAAAAGGGGAAAGGGAGGGGAGAAGGCTTCCCATCCTCGGGATGGTTCCTAGATCAGAAAAACAATTTCAGAGTGAAAAACACGCCATTGTCCGGCGCCAGGACCCTCACACCTCATGACCAAATGGAGACAGAAATCATCTGATGGTCCTTGTGTGTCTACGCCGGTGTTGGTACATGGCGTGTGTGTGTGTGTGTGCAGGTGCGTGCGTGTGTGTGTACTCACCTAGTTCTCACCTAGTTGTGTTTGCGGGGGTTGAGCTCTGGCTCTTTGGTCCCGCCTCTCAACCGTCAATCAACAGGTGTACAGATTCCTGAGCCTATCGGGCTCTGTCATATCTACACTTGAAACTGTGTATGGAGTCAGCCTCCACCACATCACCCCTAATGCATTCCATTTGTCAACCACTCTGACACTAAAAAAGTTCTTTCTAATATCTCTGTGGCTCATTTGGGCACTCAGTTTCCACCTGTGTCCCCTTGTGCGTGTTCCCCAGGTGCGCGCGCGCGCAGGTGTGTGTGTGTGTGCAGGTGTGCGTGCGCTTGTGTACTTACCAATCTGTGCATGCAGGCTACAAATCCAGCTCCTAGACCCCAGTCTTTCCAGCAGCCGGTTGTCAAGTGCAATGAATGATTCGTGACCTATTTTCCAATCATATCAACTTTCGAAATAATGAATGTGGGTCGCCCCTGACGCATCAAAAATACTGATAATAATATATATATATATATAAATAAAAATAACGAGAGTATGACTGGTGTGTTTGTGAAGCGAGGGAGGGCAGGACACGGTGCCCCGGGTGGAGGCTGGGGGTGCTCATGATGCCACAACTATTTTAGTGTAAGTGAAGGGAGCAAATGCAAGGCAGACAGAGGTTGAAACGAATACAATGAATAGTTTCAAAAGTAGATATGAAAGAGTTCAGTGTCAGCCCTTTAAGACAAGAAACAGCTAGTTATAAGGGTCCTCGGGAGCTGATTGGCCACCCTGCCCATACAATCGTATGATTACCTTTAAACGGGGCCCCAAGGACTAGAGTGTCCCCCCCCCCCCCCAACGGGCGACACAGTTACAAGCACGCCCGCCATGCCGGCTGGCTAACATAAGAACGGCCTTTAGAAACTTGTGTAAGAAATCATTCAGGACCTTGTATATCACGTATGTCAGACCAATCCTGGAGTATGCAGCTCCAGCATGGAGTCCATATCTCGTCAAGCATAAAACTAAATTGGAGAAGGTTCGGAGGTTTGCCAGCAGACTAGTGCCCTAACTGGGGGGCATGAACTATGAGGAGACTACGGGAATTAAACCTCGCGTCACTGGAAGACAGAAGAGTTTGGGGGGGACATGATCACCACACACAAAATTCTCAAAAGAATTGATAGGGTGGATAAGGACATGCTATTTAATACAAGGGGCACACGCACTAGGGGACACAGGTGGAAATTGAGTGTCCAAATGCCATAAAGACAATAGAAAGATTTTTTCAGTGTTAGAGTAGTTAATAAATGAAATGCATTTGGCAGTGATGTGGTGGAGGCTGACTCCATACACAGTTTAAAATGTAGATATGATAGAGCCCAGTAGGCTCAAGAACCTGTACACCAGTTGATTGACAGTTGAGAGGCGGGCCGAAAGAGCAGAGCTCAACCCCCGCAAGCACAACTAGGTGAATACAACTAGGTGAATACACACACACACACGCGCACACACACGCGCACACGCACGCGCGAGCGGAAACCCAAACAGTAATTGTCAACAAAGCCATACGAGGCTCCACCACCGTGAAAGGCTCAGTCTACAAGTGCTTGCTGCGATACTCTTCCTCACTCACATACATGACACAACCAACTTTATGAGAGTAGAGACAACAGAGGACGGAACAAACCTCCACACTGCAGTAAACCAAGTCTGGCAATGGCCTACAGAATACAACAAGATGTTCACTGATGATACATTCTAACTTTTGGCATAAGCCTATTATACAATTTAAACAAAAAAAATACGAAAAGGCAGTCAAGCAATACAACAGAGCGAAAAAACCTGGTAAAAGACTTATTATTGTCAAACTCTAATAAATATCACGATACACTTAAAAAACACAATATATTTACCGTAACCACTCCATATAACGACCCTTATGTTTCTTTCAAACAAGAAGTGCCAATTTAATGTTAGTAATTTTCAAAACACTAGTGCTCTCTAGGGTGGAATAGTGTTACACACTAACAGCCACCATTCAAAGCTGGAGAAGTTACTGACCTGGAGAACGTGCAGAGATCTTTTACTGCCAGAATACATTCCGGAACCACCATAAATTACAGGGACCACATTTACATCTCACAAATTATACGCACAGTCTCGAGAAACACATCATAATCAACATCTGATTTTTTTGTAAGAAGAAACAGTTTCAAACGAACACACTGAAGTAATTCCTAACGAAGGCAGGAGTCACGGCAGAATGTTGAAAATAGTCCCAGTGAAAACTATGGGTGCAACAAGTTCTCTGTGAGGTAATTATATATTAAGAGTCCAAGGGCTTTGAATACCATTCCTTTAAATATAAGAGACTCGTAAAAAACACTGCTCTACTGACTCGTACCGGGCAGCGTAGACACTGCTCCCCCAGAGCCACCACGTGGTAGACGCGCGGTAGGAAAGTAGAGAAGAGGTTCTAGGGGGGAACGTAGAATAAGACATTGAAGAGATGTAGATGCTATAGACGAAGGTAGAGACAGATTCCAAGTGAAGGACCAAGTTACTGGAGAGGCAGAAGAGGGAAACTGGGACACTGTCACTCGTCTTGCCAAGACGAGTGACAGGAGTGGTGTCTTGTAAGGTTTCCAACAAGTCCAATGTAGTCTATGAGTCCATCAAGTCCTGCGAGTCTGGAGGTATTAGGTGATCAACGTGGATCACCTAATATCTCCAGATTCAAGTGATGCCCCCAGGAGAGGAAGAAAGTCTCAGCTGGATACCACTGTTGTGTCTCTGGGACCCTCTCTTATTGTGGGCGGTCAGTGAGGTCGGTAGAGCTTTCCACTCAACTGTTTTCCACTCCAGTGAACCTGAGTTCGAGACTCCCATGGTGCAAGTTAATGAAATCATGAAATGTTATTTACACGTTTACTGTAGTTTGCGTAACACACATACACACATCAGGGGCCTGTGGTTGAGTGGACAGCGCTTGAGACTCTTAATCCTGGGGTCCGGGTTCGATCCCGGCTGATGGCAGAAAGAAAATGGGCAGAGTTTCTTTCACCCTGATGCCCCTGTTACCTAACAGTAAATAGGCACCTGGGAGTTAGACAGCTGTTACGGGCTGCTTCCTGGGGAGGGGTGGTGGAAAAAAAAGTTGATTGATTAGCAGTTGAGAGGCGGGCTGGAAGAGCAGTGATCAACCCCCGCAAGCAGAAGCACAACTACGTGAATGTGCGCGCACGCACGCGCGCGCACGCACGCGCGCGCGCACACACATGCGTGCACACACACACACACACACACACACACACACACACACACACCTGTACTTCACTGCTAAATATTTGTATCACTCCACTCACTTTACCAGAGTTCAAACTCATTAACAGCATTAAAACTGCTTTCAATATAAGCTTCAACCGCAGGTAGTATATCAGTTATATGTGGGCAGTAGCGAGGGATGTGTGGGCAGTAGCGAGGGATGTGTGGGCAGTAGGCGAGGGATGTGTGGGCAGTAGGCGAGGGATGTGTGGGCAGTAGCGAGGGATGTGTGGGCAGTAGCGAGGGATGTGTGGGCAGTAGGCGAGGGATGTGTGGGCAGTAGGCGAGGGATGTGTGGGCAGTAGGCGAGGGATGTGTGGGCAGTAGGCGAGGGAAGTGTGGGCAGTAGGCGAGGGAAGTGTGGGCAGTAGGCGAGGGATGTGTGGGCAGTAGGCGAGGGATGTGTGGGCAGTAGGCGAGGGAAGTGTGGGCAGTAGGCGAGGGAAGTGTGGGCAGTAGGCGAGGGATGTGTGGGCAGTAGGCGAGGGAAGTGTGGGCAGTAGGCGAGGGATGTGTGGGCAGTAGGCGAGGGATGTGTGGGCAGTAGGCGAGGGAAGTGTGGGCAGTAGCGAGGGATGTGTGGGCAGTAGGCGAGGGAAGTGTGGGCAGTAGGCGAGGGAAGTGTGGGCAGTAGGCGAGGGAAGTGTGGGCAGTAGGCGAGGGATGTGTGGGCAGTAGGCGAGGGATGTGTGGGCAGTAGGCGAGGGATGTGTGGGCAGTAGGCGAGGGAAGTGTGGGCAGTAGGCGAGGGATGTGTGGGCAGTAGGCGAGGGATGTGTGGGCAGTAGGCAAGGGAAGTGTGGGCAGTAGCGAGGGATGTGTGGGCAGTAGGCGAGGGATGTGTGGGCAGTAGGCGAGGGATGTGTGGGCAGTAGGCGAGGGATGTGTGGGCAGTAGGCGAGGGATGTGTGGGCAGTAGGCGAGGGATGTGTGGGCAGTAGCGAGGGAAGTGTGCACAGGAGGGTTCACCCTTCACAACGGCGGCAGGTCCCACCTCCCTGTTTCCTCTACACGTAGTCCAGTTACCGCCAACATTTGTCTCACCCTGCAACAGTTACACATTTCACGAACCATTCACCTTTCAAGTCAACAATTCACCCTTTATTGCAACCGTCCAACCTTCCTGACAACCATTCAACCTTCATCACAACTATTCAGCCTTCATCTCAACCATTCAATCTTCATCATAGCCATTCAACATTCATCACGATCATTTACCAACTTATTTAAGCAGTCTCACCTTTTCTGCGAGAATTCCTCCGTTTTCTACGAGAATTCTCCACCCCGGCTAAGCACACAAAAGCCTTCATTTCTCTGCTGTCCTTGCCAGTTTGTCGGCTTCCTCTGCACGCCCTTCCTCGTTTCTGGAGCCTTCTAACCTATTAGGCCAATATTTGAGTGTCTTAAGACTGCGTCGTCAACGAAGCCAGCTAAGGGCATCAAAACTAGAACCAGACAAGAGATTTTATGAACGTGTCGCACGCACGCACGCACGCACAGACGCAAGCATCATTAAGAGTCGTCTTCTCGTGTTGCCACAATGGACATTAACAACAGGCGACCTTAACCTAACCGACCCACACATAGAAAACGTGACATTGTTCCCAAGCCGGTGTGATTTATAGTACCACGTTATTTGTCAATTTGGGGATTTTGATGTCAACATGTGATGTGTTATTTGCGAGGACGGGTTGCAGCCCCAGCCACTCGGACATACAACCAATGGAGCACTAACTCGGGACGGAAGAGCTTCCATGAGTAACAGGACACAATGACAGCCTCTTTCAAAGCTGGGGAAATTGCTGACCTGGAGAGCGTACAGAGATACTTTACTGCCAGAACATAAACTCCTTTACTACTAAACTCCATAAACTCCTTTACTGCAGTTTTACTCCATAAAACATCTAAATTATTGGGACCGATTTACATTTTCTAATTTGTATTCTCTAAAGTGCAGGCGGGAGAGATAAGTAATAATTTACACGTGGAAAATACTAGAAGGATTAGTTCCAAATCTGTTCACGGAAATAACACCACACGAGACCAGAAGGCATGGCAGGATGTGCAGAATAGCCCCGTTGAAAAGCAGAGGTGCAATGGGAACAGAGGAGCACGCTGAGAGAGAGACATCAGGTCCCGAAGACTGTTCAACACGATCACGCTACACACGTGGGCCGTAACTGGCCGACCTCTCACGGTGTTCAAAAAAAAAAGTTGATAAACACCTCCAAAGGATACCTGATAAACCATACTGTAAGTCATACGTCTGGCTACGAGCAGCCGCGTCCGACAGCCTGGTTGACCAGACCACCAACCAGGAGGACTGGTCAGAGACCGGGCCGCGGGGAAGTTGATCCTCGGAATCATGGCTAGGTGACCCCTTTACCTACCCCCGTGGCGACCCCCGTCAGGAAAGTCGCGCTTGACATGTTCGTCACAAATGGCCTCCCGGGAAGTGGAACAAGAGCGGCCCCAACTTGCGGGGGAGCTGGTCCCGAGTGCGTCACGGCGGAAGGAAGACCACGTTAAGAGGCTTGCGAGGGCGGCATTACAGCTTGTCTCTGGAGGTAACTCCTAAAAGTTTTCTAACACCCTCCCAAGGGACGCTCACCAATATGTAACACCAAATACACCGAAGCACCAGGCTTCCTGCAGGGTGAAAATTACAAACTGCATTAACATCTATATTTACAAAATACACACTTTTATCTATTCAGTATTTTGTTTAAAATTTTATCTATTCAATTAGGTATTACTGCAGTAAGGATACTGGTTCACTGCCACACAGGACCATGCACAGGACAGCAGGACCCATACCTCATGCACCACGCTACTCTTCAAGGTCCAACCTCAACACTGACAAAAAAAAAAAAACATGGTTCGAAACCTAATTACGTTTTTCTCTCTCTGGACACGATCTCTTACGCAGTTTATACTCGAATAAACACACATGCTCTATACACAAGAGCCTGTTTTTTCCTGACACAAAACCTTTCCTACCAGGAGGCCTGGTCGAGGACCGGGCCGCGGGGACATTGAGCCCCGAAATCATCGCAAGGTAAAAGGTACTTACTTGCTCGACTACTCACAAGACTGGCTGAAAGACGCCTCACTTTACGCCAGATTTTCTCACCTGGAAATAAAAATAACAATGAATTAGACAATAGTACAAACATTCTAACCTCAGTGGAATTGACTTATTGCGAATTTAAATTAATAACAAGAATGCATTAATTAATATCTTAAAATACAATACTTGAAGAGATAATAAATAGTAGAGTGTAGTCACTTCACCCACCACCAGCGAAATCACAAACGGATATAATGTAGTAGTACATACGCCGCCGTAAGGCAATGTCGTACATACAACCAGGATGTAAACCTGCTTGCCTGATCAACCAGGCTGTGATTCACACGTCAGCATGCGAGCAGCGTTTCGGGAGTTCAACTCTTCAAGCCCGACCAGGGGGGCCAAGTTTGACTTGTGACACAAATTATGTAACTTTTCATATAGTCTAAGGGACAGTCCAGTAGCTTAGACAGTCCAGCTCCTCATTGACCAGTCCAGCAACGAGGACGACTGGCCGAGGACGCTAAGCCCCGAAATCATCTCAAGGTAAGGTGAGGTACATGCACACGCAGATTAAAACAAAAATGGTGGCCAACCGCTCCCTCCGTTACGGGCTCACCATAGCCCGTGCTGCTTGGAACTTGTTCCCAGCAGCTGAATCTATAACAACAACCACCGCTCCCTCCGAGGTGGGGCTGGGATGGTGAGCAATCTTGCAGTGGTCCCCGGGGCCTCCACCAACTTCCTGGGTGAACCTCACTTAAGGGTACACTGGGTCACAGCCCTCGCTCCCTCCTCTGGTATATCTGGCTTAAAATAAAACTCCAGAGTTTACCCTGGCAATAGCGTTCATTATTTTAACAAATCTAACATTCTTCCCCGACCAAGAACATTTTCTCCCCCCCCCCTCTCCTTACTGTGCCGCGTGTCTCAGCAGACAGTTCTCACGATGTAACAAGCGACAAATTTGACTGTTTTGCCAAACCAAAAGGTGGCCACGTCCAGGTGATATACTGGCAGGTATATACTCTTGCCACACCTCACACTCCTCCTATACACCTCACTTTTCTGGACAGTCTTCTGCTTTCAACAGGAGACTCTTTGTGTATATATCACCTGCCGTCAGCGGCTGACTGTTGTATACTCATCAGCTTCCTTTCAGCATAACGTCCTGGCCCACCATCTCCACGTGTCTACCTTGTGATGGTTCCGGGGATCAATACCACTGCGGCCCTGTCAAGAAGGCTGTCAACAGCCCCTGCTCACAGTCTACCGCCTGTCGTGGTCCAAAGCGTTTGCTTTGGAGTACCCAGAGCACAGGTTCTAATCGTTATCATGGGTGTTCCTGATCTTCTCTAAACATTGATCATGCTGAGGTTGGTGTGAGCAAGAGGTCAAGCAAGGTCAGCCCAGGAAGGAGACACAAATATTGGTGGTAACAATACAATAACAAGAGGTAAGTAGGCTGCATAACTCTGAGATATTACACGGAGACACGCGGGCAGCGACCGCCTCGCCTCACGGAACGACAAGGAAAACTTGTATCACGGACAGGACATGCCGGGGTGTCATGCCCTCCCCCCCCTCTCTCTCTCTCTCTCTCTCTCCCCCCCCTCTCTCTCTCTCTCTCTCCCCCCCCCTCTCTCTCTCTCTCTCTCTCCCCTCCACTTCCCATCTTCCTCCTCCCTCCCTATCCCCTTTCCCCCTGCAGCTGTCACGCATCCTTTCCAACGTGTGCCAGCCCTGTTCTTGCCCCGCCCGCCCTCTCCTTCCTTTATCCTGCCCGCCAGTTCCTGCTTCAACACGCCCCCTCGCCCTGCCCATCCTTCGCTTGCCTCCTCCTCCTCGTCCCTTGGCTTATTCGTCCCCTTCTCCTCCCCCCCCCCCCGTCAGCGCTCCACAAGAACACTGTCTTCACCCCTGGCCTCATATGTCTAATATTCCACATATATGCAATATATGAAAGGTGAGAGGACGCACACACAAGGGCACGGGGTTGCATACATCTGAGCAACAATGACAGCAGTAGCAACAATGACAGCAACATTAGTTAAATCAACAATAACTAGAGCAGTAGCGTCAACAATAACAGCTAGAGGGGGCGTGTGTGTGTGTGGTCTTGCCCGACGTCTCGGCGTGTGCTCGGAGGGAGTCCAGTTTGCTTATTTTGGGGGATTACCTGATCCACACTCCCACACTCACCAGCTGCTGACACCCTCTACCACACTCACCAGCTGCTGACACCCTCTACCACACTCACCAGCTGCTGACACCCTCTACCACACTCACCAGCTGCTGACACCCTCTACCACACTCACGGAGGAGAGAAGAAAATGTATATATGCTGGTTTTAGTGTAAATGAATGACCACGTCTGTAGCAGAAAATAATAAAAAAAAAGCATTAACCAGGTGCTAACAACATTTGCAACCCCTCCTTCCCTCTTTCTGTTACAGAGACGCAAGCAAGCGCGCGAGCACGCACACACGCGCACACATTGGGGGCCGAGCGGACAGCACGCTGGACACGTGACCCTGTGGTCCCAGGTTCGATCCCGGGTGCCGGCGAGAAACAATGGGCAGAGTTTCTTTCACCCTATGCCCCTGTTACCTAGCAGTAAATAGGTACCTGGGAGTTAGTCAGCGGTCACGGGCTGCATCCTGGATGTGTATGTGTGTGTGAGTATGGTGTGGGAAAAAATAGTAGTAGTAGTTAGAAACAGTTCACTGACAGTTGAGAGGCGGGCCGAAGGAGCAGAGCTCAACCCACACAATGACAACTAGGTGAATACACGCACGCACGCACACACAGTCCTGGAAAAAAGTCCAAAGGTATGCCCCTAGACTAGTCCCAGAACTAAGAGGCATGAGTTACGAGGAAAGGCTGCGGGAAATGCACTGGAAGACAGAGGAGTAAGGGGAAGCATGATCACAACCTACAAAATCCTCAGGGCAATCGACCGGGTAATCAAGGATAAGCTATTCAACACTGGTGGGACGCGAACAAGGGGACACAGGTGGAAACTGAGTACCCACATGAGCCAGAGGGACGTTAGAAGGAACTTTTTCAGTGTCAGAGTAGTTAACGGATGGAATGCATTAGGCAGTAATGTAGTGGAGGCTGACTCCATACACAGTTTCAAATGTAGATATGATAAGAGCCCAGTAGGCTCAGGAACCTGTACACCAGTTGATTGACAGTTGAGAGGCGGGACCATAAAGCCAAAGCTCAACTCCGGCAAGCACAAATAGGTGAGTACACACACACACAGCAACCCGTAACAGCTGTCTAACTCCCAGGTACCTATTTACTGCTAGGTAACAGGGGCAACAGGGTAAAAGAAACTCTGTCCATTTGACTCTGCCGCGCCGGAAATCGAACCCGGGCCACAGGATTCGAGTCCCGCGCGCTGTCCACTCAGCTACCAAACCCATGTGTGTGTGTGTGTGTGTGTTAGAGAGGAATATATGTAGTAGATATAATTGAGGAAAAATAGATAGGTTAGAAAGGCGGGGTCCAAGAGCTAACAGTTCGATCCTGCAAACACAAATAGTAAATACAAACGCAGAAAATAGGACTAGAGAACATAAGTGTAAACTGGCAGAGTCGAGGAAATGTCAGGAAATACTGTAATGCGTGTAGGGGCGGTCAACAAGTGGAAGGTCCGGAAAGAAGAAGTTACAGAAGCCACCTCCATCAGTAACTTCCAAGTCAGATTCTACAAAGAATGCCAAGGTCAGAATAACCTTAATTATAGCACAACGAGGATAGTAAGCGGGACATAGAGGGGCTAGACCTCACTTCCACCTGCTGCTGAACTTTAAAGCTTATGATAGCAAAATAACTCACTTTCTCGTAGTCAGTGATAGCTAAGCCTTCCTGCCTGCCTGCCCCCCCCCCCCCCCCCCCCCTCCTCCTCTCTCTCTCTCCTCCCTCCCTCCCTCCCTCCCTCCCTCCCTCCCTCTCTCTCTCTCCCTCCCCTCTCTCTCCAGGGAACACGTACAAGCAATATTAGCACAACTTCGTCATTACCTGTTAACTTCACACAATCTCTCCTTCTCTAAGTGAGTCACACCATCGCCACCTTCCCCCTTTCCCTTGCCATCTCCCTTTTTCCTTTTCACATCTCTCATCCCTCCCTCTTCCCTATTTTATCAACCTTCCCTCCACACCCTCGTGTGTAGAGTTTTCTCGTTCTCGCATTCTCGTCGCCATTACGCTAATCGGCTCGGTATTTAACTACCAATTAGCCAATACATTAAACAATCAATGCAGGCGTTCAATGTTAACTTAACGGGGTTCACCCGACAGCTATTGCGACCACTACCGACCAATTTGCTCGGGCATTAAACAAGCGATGAGATAAATGACCCGTAACTCACACCGTGATGAGTGCGCAGGTGCGTGTGTGTGTGTGTGTGTGTGTGTGTGTGTGTGTGTGTGTGTGTGTGTGTGTGTGTGTGTGTACTCACCTATATGTACTCACCTATATGTGCTTGCAGGATCGAGCATTGACTCTTGGATCCCGCCTTTCTAGCTATCGGTTGTTTACAGCAATGACTCCTGTCCCATTTCCCTATCATACCTAGTTTTAAAAGTATGAATAGTATTTGCTTCCACAACCTGTTCCCCAAGTGCATTCCATTTTTCTACTACTCTCACGCTAAAAGAAAACTTCCTAACATCTCTGTGACTCATCTGAGTTTCCAGTTTCCACCCATGTCCCCTCGTTCTGTTATTATTACGTGTGAACATTTCATCTATTTCCACTTTATCAATTCCCCTGAGTATTTTATATGTCCCTATCATATCTCCTCTCTCCCTTCTTTTCTCTAGTGTCGTTAGGCTCAGTTCCTTCAGCCGCTCTTCATATCCCATCCCTCGTAACTCTGGGACAAGCCTCGTCGCAAACCTCTGAACCTTCTCCAGTTTCTTTATGTGTTTCTTCAGGTGGGGGCTCCATGATGGCGCGGCATACTCTAAGACGGGTCTCACGTAGGCAGTGTAAAGTGCCCTAAAAGCTTCCTCATTTAGGTTTCTGAATGAAGTTCTAATTTTCGCCAGTGTAGAGTACGCTGCTGTCGTTATCCTATTTATATGTGCCTCAGGAGTTAGATTAGGTGTCACATCCACTCCCAGGTCTCTTTCTCGAATCGTTACAGGTAGGCTGTTCCCCTTCATTGTGTACTGTCCCTTTGGTCTCCTGTCACCTGATCCCATTTCCATAACTTTACATTTACTGGTGTTAAACTCCAGTAGCCATTTCCCTGACCATCTCTGCAGCCTGTTTAAGTCCTCTTGGAGGATCCTACAATCCTCGTCTGTCACAACGTGTGTGTGTGTATGTGTGTGTGTGTGTGTGTGTGTGTGTGTGTGTGTGTGTGTGTGTGTGTGTATGTGTGTGTGTGTGTGTGTGTGTGTGTGCGTGTGTGCGCGTGTGTGTGTGTGTGTGTGTGCGCGTGTGTGTGCGTGTGTGTGCGTGCGTGTGTGTGCGTGCGTGTGCGTGTGTGCGTGTGCGTGCGTGTGCGTGTGTGCGTGTGCGTGTGTGTGTGTGTGTGTGTGTGTGTGTGTGTGTGTGTGAGTGTGTGTGTGTGTGTGTGTGTGTGTGAGTGTGTGTGAGTGTGTGTGTGTGTGTGAGTGTGAGAGAGCGAGAGTGTGTGTGTGTGTGTGTGTGTGTGTGTGTGTGTGTGTGTGTGTGTGTGTGTGTGTGTGTGTGTGTGTGTGTGTGTGTGTGTGTGTGCGTGCGTGCGTGTGTGCGTGCGTGCGTGTGTGCGTGCGTGCGTGTGCGTGCGTGTGTGTGTGTGCGCGCGTGTGTGTGTGTGTGTGTGTGTGTGTGTGCGTGCGTGTGTGTGTATTCGACATGTTTTAAAACTGTGTGTGTGTGTGCGTGCGTACTTACCTAATTGTGCTTGCGGGGGTGAGCTCTGGCTCTTTGGTCCCGCCTCTCAACCGTCAATCAACTGGTGTACAGATTCCTGAGCCTACTGGGCTCTATCATATCTACATTTGAAACTGTGAATGGAGTCAGCCTCCACCACATCACTTCCTAATGCATTCCATTTGCTAACTACTCTGACACTGAAAAAGTTCTTTCTAACGTCTCTGTGGCTCATTTGGGTACTCAGCTTCCACCTGTGTCCCCTTGTTCGCGTCCCACCAGTGTTGAAAAGTTCGTCCTTGTTTACCCGGTCGATTCCCCTGAGGATTTTGTAGGTTGTGATCATGTCCCCCCTTACTCTTCTGTCTTCCAGTGTCGTGAGGTGCATTTCCCGCAGCCTTTCCTCATAACTCATGCCTCTTAGTTCTGGGACTAGTCTAGTAGCATACCTTTGGACTTTTTCCAGCTTCGTCTTGTGCTTGACAAGGTACGGGCTCCATGCTGGGGCCGCATACTCCAGGATTGGTCTTACATATGTGGTGTACAAGATTCTGAATGATTCCTTACACAGGTTCCTGAACGCCGTTCTGATGTTAGCCAGCCTCGCATATGCCGCAGACGTTATTCTCTTTATGTGGGCTTCAGGAGACAGGTTTGGTGTGATATCAACTCCTAGATCTTTCTCTCTGTCTGTTTCATTAAGTACTTCATCTCCTATTCTGTATCCTGTGCCTGGCCTCCTGTTTCCACTGCCTAGTTTCATTACTTTGCATTTACTCGGGTTGAACTTCAACAGCCATTTGTTGGACCATTCACTCAGTCTATCCAGGTCATCTTGTAGCCTCCTACTATCATCCTCTGTTTCAATCCTCCTCATAATTTTTGCATCGTCGGCAAACATTGAGAGGAACGAATCTATACCCTCTGGGAGATCATTTACATATACCAGAAACAGTATAGGTCCAAGGACTGACCCCTGCGGGACTCCACTTGTGACGTCTCGCCAATCTGAGACCTCACCCCTCACACAGACTCGTTGTCTCCTGTTGCTTAGGTATTCCTCTATCCACCGGAGTACCTTCCCTCTCACTCCAGCCTGCATCTCCAACTTTCGCACTAGCCTCTTGTGTGGCACTGTATCAAAGGCTTTCTGACAATCCAAAAA